AGCTGTGACTGCAGCTGAAAAACCAACAGCGAATACAAGGAATAGGGTAAAGATGGGCAGCTGGGCTCCAAGGCAAGAAGCAGAGATGAGGTGCCCTGCAAGAGCTACTGCTATCAACACACCTCTGTTTGGAGGTACCCAACCACCAGCAGGCCCCAGCTCTTCATCTTAGAAATACATGAGCAGCATTTGCACAGCAACCAGCAAGAACTAACTCAACCCACAGAGCCCATCTACCCTTCCCACCAGGGACAGACCACCTAAGCAAATTAAAAGCTCTATTCCAAAGGATCCCAATCACATCTCTCCAGCTTTATCATCCTAATGAAAAGTGTCTGGGTATTTTTGCTTCTCCTTTTATTTGTTACTAATGATCTCTGTGAATCTTCACTCAGATGTTTCCAAACTGCAACACATTTTCTGGGGTCCCTGCAACAGGACTAAGGTGAAGCTCCCTCTGCTTGTTTCCCCACAGAGCACGTGAATCAGCAACAACTGAAAAAGGAGATGCCTTTATCAGAGAACTTCAGAATTGTTTTGTTAAAGTTTCTTTTTGCTAGTGGAAACTTAATTAGACACCCACAAGAATGAGAATTAGATGCTCATGAGAATAAAGATTCATGAGATTCTTGTTCTCAGTAAGACCTTTGCCAGGCCAAACGGAACATATCCATGACCCTGCAGCTTATCTTTTGAGAAAGAAAATCTTTCTCTTGCCAAGAATCTGTGGCAAACCACAGACAAAACAAGTTATATCCAAAATCCAGCTGAGAGATTAAGCAGAAGATGAAAACTAACATCTCAATTTAGAAATAAAGAAATAATCAGATGCTGTTGTGGTAAGTGGCCATTACAGACAAACCTGATCTGTGGCCCAAACCAGAACTAAAGGGACTACCTGGGCTGAGAAAAGTTGTCTCAATGTCACCGGGCTGGGAAGCAGCTATTGTTTGATGCAGCCCCATTTGTGCTGCCAGGGTAGCACAGAGCTCATTGCAAATGCAAAGCCCCAGCTGGGGGTAGGAAGAACTGAACGTGTTAAATGCTTGGCTGGTGAGTGCCTGTACCAATCGCTCGGCGTTGGGGAGGGGGTTCCATCCCCCATCCCATCCCGTTCCCCATTATTCTCCATTCAAGCTGAAAGCAAGAAGGTCTTTTCCTGTGCCGCTCAGTGTCAGCCAGACTTGGGAAGCTCGGCAGGAATTGCTGAGAGATCCAGAAAAGACACAAAAGCCTCCTTCCACAAAGCGCCCGTTCATCTAGGCAGTATGTCTATTAAATAAGTCCTGTTAATGTGCATACATTTTTATAAAGAGATTATAAAGTGAAGACTCAGTCACTAACTCGACTACTGCACAATAAGATTTTAAAGTTTATTACTAGAAAAGAGGGGTTTAAAATGAGTAGCTGGGAATGCTTCACAGCTCCTCCGCAGTAACATTCAAATAGGTCTGGTACCCGCAACGGCAGCCAAAGCTCTGTTCAACATGTTTCAGTGCTTTCATTTCTCTATTTGGTGACACAGAGGGACCTCAGCCTATGACCACTCTGCCTTTGGTACTGCTCAGGGATAAAACAGAAAGGATGGTTCAAGCCCTGACCAGCACCAAACACGATGCTCAGAGGACAACTAGGTAGTTAATAAATAAGACAAAATTCGATCAGAACCTGCTCTTTCCCCATGGCATCAGGAGGAATTGGTGAGCTGCCATTCCTGAGCATTTGCTCCTGCTCTCATCAAAATCAAAGCAGTAAACAGCCACTTCATCCACTTTCTCCATTACACCCCTTTCTACATCTTTTTTTTCCCTTTCCTTTGCCCACGGGGCTCAGCATCTCCCAAGAATAACTAAGTCAGGTAGATACAAATTCCTGACAGCCTTGGGAGAAAGCAAGTTAGTTTTTGTCCACTGAGAGGTAAGGGTGGCGGGGGAAAAAAGAACCTTTTTTTCTTTCTGCATCAAAGCAAGGCCACAAGTTGACAATCTTCACCAGCATGGGTATGGCTAAAAGCCAGCTTCACATACCAGCCTTGGCAGGACCTGCAGCGAGCCACGCTGCCAGCCCCAGACTTGCTATAGCAAGATATTAATAGTTTATACGTATTTCTGGACATGCAGATGATCAGACTTAGGGCCTGATGCTGATATTGGTTCTAACCTTCTTTCAGAGCAAGAATCCCCAAAAGGCTATAAATCTGGTTTCAGTATGGAAATGAGATGTCATCTCCTTGCAGCAGTGGCAAACCCCCAGTCCAGCTCCTCGCTGCAGACAGAGGAAGAGCTGGTGGTTGCAATGCTGCTGGGTTTTGTCATGCAGACAGTGCTCTGCACAGCTTCAGCTCTCCGCATTCACAGCCCTTAGGCATCTATCCAGATCCCTGCCAGTCCCACGGGGATACCTTCCAGCAAGCACAAAATATCAGGAGGTGTGTTACAACTGTGGTATTTCTTGTGCTGATGGGAGAGAAGTGTCTGTCTTCCACACCAGAGCGGAGAACTGACTACACCAGCACCACACACATCACACACAGGAGGAGAAGTGCTCACCCAATGCCAATAGGGCAGGGAATTTGCTTCCAGCACACTGATGGTACTGGAAAGCATGAGACACAACAGCAAAACCAACACAGAACAAGCAAGAGAGAGCTCAGGAAATGGTGGAGTGATTCTGGAAACCAGCTCTGCTCCACCTTTGGTCTGCACAAGAAAGCCCAAAGTACAACTTCATGGGAACCCCCTGCACTTCCCAATGAGTCAAGGTTCAGGGTCAAAGGCCTTAAACACACAATAACATTATTTTGTATGCAAGCTGCATCAAGATGTGGATTCATAAAAAACAGGTAAAAGCCTGGAATAAGCCTGACCTACACTGTATATATGTCGAGCAAAGCAGTTCTTATCTAACTTGGCTCAGAGCGGACAACAGCCTTCATTACGTTTTCAAAGACTCATAGAATCCTGGACTGGTTTGTGTTGGAAGGGAGCTTAAAGCTCATCCAGTTCCAACTCCCTGCCATGGGCAGGGACACCTTCCACTAAAGCAGGTTGCTCAAAATCCCAAAACAATGCATTTCTCTACTACAGTTTTTAATGACTTTATTATCCTTTTCCAGCTGCTTCTCTTTCTCCTTTAGCAGGAATTTTCAGGTCCTATTAAATCATCCAGATGACAAACTCGAAGCAGAGAGCACACACAGCAGGTCCTGCTTTTCAAATGAGCCTTCACATAGCAGGTCTGCACTCTTTTCATCCTGACTCCAAGCCTTTCCTTCTCAAAATAGCCACGGCACCTCTGCTCCTCAAAGAGAAATTCTCCATTCCAAGCACCAAAAACCATGGCAATATATGTTGGGTTTCATTTATTTTTGGAGGCTGACTTTCTATTCTTGGATACATATGAAAAAGCAGCGTTTCAAAGTCTGAGGCTGCAATTACCAGAACCTATTTTTTTAAATGTATTTCTAGCCTTACAGTCAACAACTTACTGAATAAATGCATAAATATGAAGGAAGAGGCAAAATTACTTTTATGTGACATCATGATGAATCAGTATTTTACAATTCCTTACGTTCATTTCCTTACCAAACAGACATAGACGATCACTCATTTCTATCAAGCATATCCTTCAGAGCAGCTACTGAAAACACAACAGCAGCAGGATTCAAAATGAATAGACAGAATGGTATAATTTCAAATTATAGCTTCATTTCAATCCAAAATGAAAAATAGACTTCATTTTTTCCCCAAATCACACTGCTGGGCAGTAACTCACAGGATAAGGCAGGTTACATAAGTGATGTTAGCTTTGTATTTTCAACCTAAGCATAGAATCATAGAATGGTTTGGAAAGGACTTTAAGATCATTCAGTTCCAACGCCTACCACAGGCAGGGATGCTAACCTAAAGCTAAAAAAGCTTGAAAAGTTTCAGATTTCATCCTCCTCCTGCAATGTATTTGAATATTAACCTTTTCCTTTTTTAAAACATGACCTCCTACAAGCAAGACACCAGAGACTGTGTATCCAGGAATAACATTTTCTAATTTGAATCTAACAGAGCAAAGATCTCTGAAATATGTAGTTTAAAAACAGCTGCTGGATAAGGTGACACAGGAGCCATCCCCACTCCTTATTCCTGTCCTCCTGCCTGCACCAAGGTGCAGTTTTCCATGTAAATTGTTTCCTCCACCAAGCTAGACCGAGGGAATAAATCCCACATCACACCTGGGAGCCCTCAATAGCCACTGGCAAAGGAAATGAAAGACAAGGAAGAAATTCCCCTTACACACAAGTCTTTGTGTCTCCCACTTGACTGTGCCAGCTGTTGTCTGCTGGAAAAGGAACCTCCAGCCCATGCACCCGCTTCCTATCAAAACACTGAGCTGCAGTTTAGGATCCACTGTATTGAAATGGCCTTTCCTCCTCTGTTTTGCACTCCTTGCAATGATGAGAGGTCCTGATTCTTCCTTTTCCTCCACAAATGGTGTTTAGATCTCCAAAATCCAAAGTCAGAAATCCGTAAGACTTCCGTATTGGAAAAAGCAAAGGGAAAGAACATGCCAGTTCACTGACCATGAACAGAACAAGAAAAATATCCTGAAAACAACTTTCTATACCAGTCTTCCATCAGCATTTGCCCTTGTGTTGATTTGCACTGACTAGGCTACCACTGCAAGCAAACACTTCAGGCAAACTTAATACTGCTCCCACAGCACACACCTCTGTAGCCAAACCAAGGTGCCCTTTGTAAAGTATTCCCAAATATCATTCCTCACCTGATGTTTACCAGCACATACAACATCTCAGCATCTACTTCAGCCCAAAAAGCATGACATGATTTGTTGTTCCTCTTCCTTGCTGTTTGGAGGCAAAATAGTAGTAGTGCAAGTTGAATGTGATCAGTCTCTGCTGAGGACTTGGGCTTTCTCCCATTCCCAAAGCAGCTGCAAGGTTTGGGATGCACCGATGAGCTGAAGCATCCCACGCTATCACGCACTACCTGATACACAGCAGACATGGACTGGTCCCTGGTCCGGAACAGCTCTGCTGTCACCACTGGCCACGCCGTCATCTGGATGCTGCTGAACACCTCTCCCTGCAGCTCTAGCACTGTTCCACCCCCATCCACCATCACGTGGGATAGGGAAAGGAGAAGAAACAATCACAAGCTTGCAGGGATCCCACAGCTGATCTTCCTTGTGCTAACGTGGCTTCAAGGGAAGAACTGGTGAAGACTTCTGCTTATTTGGTTAAAACCAAGATGTTTAGCTAACTTGCCATTCATTTCAGTACCACATGCTACCCTCACACCAAAGGAGGGTCTGCTATGAGAAAACCTTATGCTCCTGACACACACAGTTTGGGGGTCCTTTATTTTCCAACAAGCTCCCAAGGGCTGGGAAGCTCTTTCCAGCCTTGGCTCAGAGCCTGGGCTTGCTCTAGGCAAACAGGCTCCCAATACAGCTATTTTTGGGTCTGTCCCTTCTCTCCTCCCCGTCACCACAAACACCTCCCCAGGTTTTCTTCAATATTACTCCTGAGGTGAAAGTACAGCCTAAGAGGAAATACTTCTAATACTTCCTGTGCTGAAAGCAAGAGAAGCAGGGACTGAACCAGAGACAGGGTGGTCACGGGGGAACCTAATCCCTTTGGTGTGGTACCATCATATCATCACCATCAAGCAGAACTTACCTTCATATGCAGTCTGGCCTGAAATGCACAGAAAACAGCACAAAACTACTCACAAAACCCTATGCAAGGAATTCTGCTTAAGGCATCCCACCTTCTAGAAACTTTTATGGCAACTTCCAGATGTGTCTATTTTAAAGCCTTTTCCCCTGGCCTCATTCCCACCTGCGACGATCACAAGCATAGCCAAAAACTCCTTCTGCATCGCAGGAGTATGTGCAAAAGATGGCCAAAACCAGGCAGAGAGCACTGGTCAGACAGCTCCACAGAAATGCTGGAAGTGAAATTACAGCTTTTCTCAAAGGGTGTCAGGGCTTTTCTGCTCTAATAGAGTGGTTGCAGCTTCAAATCACGTTGTCAAAGTTGAGTAAAACCGTGTGCCCAAAGGGAAACAGCACTAGTGAGAAGCTGGGTTTATCAGCTGCTTCAGCCTGAGGAGCTGGTAAAGGGAGATGTAACACTTTGTTTTTACTCATGACTGTAGTTGTGCAAATACACTTTTGCAAAATCACTTGGGAGACTCCACAGAAACTTTACAGGCAGTTGATAAAAGTGGCTCCATTAAAACTTTTCATGTGGTTGGAAATGGATATCATTGATTTGTGGCATTGAAATCATTATTCCAAACTCAACTCAGATTTCCTCTGCTAAATTAGACTCATCGAATCACACAGAAATCTGTTCTGGGGAAGAGCACACATAATGCAAGATTCAAGCCATGACTTCACGTGCACTTTGTTTTATATCAGAAAAGGCATGTCCTCACAACACACACTGGGTCAGTATCAATGGTGTTAAACTCGGTTTTCCATGGGAAACAGAGCATGAGGAAATCCTTCCAGATCTCATTAACATTACACGTTATTGAGCAACAATATACTACAGGAGAACAATGACTGCAGAATGCAGTCCCTCATACGTTATCGTTTTACACTTTATTCTGCAATAAGCCTGTGACACAAGAGGTGATAGAGCTGTTAGTCAAAACCTCAGCAGAATTTCTGACATACAAAACAAAGGCTGATGTATCAAACAAGCACAGCTTAAGAAATTAAGTGTAAGTAATTATCCATGTACAAGGAAACAGGAAAAAAGACCAGAAGTCAGTATTTTCCTATTCAACTACATACAAAAAAATCACTCCTGGGACATTATCCAACCTTTTCTGAAGTCCCCAGCAAAGCCCCCATAAGTGCTGCTCCAAGAAGCATTGCTGTTCCGAGGCTTCACTGAGAGCCAGACTCACACTCAAGTAGCCCTATATCCCAACCTTGGGAAGTTCAAACCATGGAGCACCCAGAGAAGGGAAATACAGAAATCTGGGGTACTTCCTCATTGCTGGGCACTTCCACACACGAGGGTACTGAGCTGACAAGGCTCAAATCATTTCTTTGCCAATTTTTCACCAATAACTGATGGACTGAAAACAATCCTTGTTAAGCAAGCACAAATACTAGTAATGTTTAACAGTGAGGTTGGATGGGGCTTGGAGCAACCTCCTCTAGTGGAAGGTGTCCCTGCCTGTGGCAGTGGGTTGGAACTAGGTGAGCTTTCAGCTCCCTCCCAACCCAAACCAGTCTGACAAACAAAGAATAATCTGTTAACACTTCCTTTTATCCACAGACATAAAAGAATAACTGATACACACACACAAATCCTTTTAACGCTTCACATTTCCTTCCATTCTCAAACACATCTTGCCCTTCTGTCTGAAGGAAGGTGAAGCACTCGATGGTATTTGGCAATAAGCATTCCATTTTTCCCTCTCTGCTCCCTTGCAAAGCTGCCGGCAGCCGAGCAGCCCCTCTGCTACATTCAGCTGTCAGGAACTGAACCATCCCTTCTCTGCTGTATTACCCAAGAAAAAGGTGGGCTAACACATGCTACATTTACTTTTGCACCTTCTTAACACATGTGTTATCAGCCCTGCCACAGCAGAGAGATTCTCAATCGCTTCACAGCATACTTGGATTTCTTGCTGCTAATAACCCCTCCGGTCCCTGCCACGACTAGCAGGCTCCTTGCTCACAGCAGTGCAGGGGACAAGCAATTATCTGCCATCCCACCTTGCTGCACCACACTCAGCAACTTTTATCTGCACAGGACAGCTGCCTTCGCCCTATTTGAAGTGAAATGTCAGTCTGTGCTAATGCAACACGACTTACATCCTAACGATGTCCTCCTGCTTTGAAGAAACAACTCAAAGCCTAATTAAAAATTCAGATTCGGTCTCCTACGTGCAGCCATTTCCCTGCCCTTCCACCAGGACCTCTCCTGTCTTTCTGAAACGTTTCATGCCAGAAAAAAAAACCCTAAGAATCCGTGTGGAACAGGATGAAAAACTGCTGCAGACTTGGGCTTTCAGAGCACCCTAAACCAGGCTGCTGCAGCTGGATTCAAACCAAGATTTAATCATGTAAAACAGAGGAGGGTTTACTCCGCTGGTTTCTACTCTGTAATTATTACTGAAGTGCACACTACTGCCAAATAATAATTAAAAGAAAAAAAAAGATACAGTCAAATATTTATCAGCTTCCCTTACTTACATTTTTCTATTGTATTTCGGCTTCACAAGCTGGAAATAACCTGAAACTAAAGGGAAAAGCAAGAAAAGGGAAGCAGTTTTCTGTGCTATTGTGTCGTTGAGGATCCACAGAGGTCCAGGTTTCAGACCTGGTGCTTTACATCGAGGAAGCACCTCGCAGTCACCAACAGATTTATTTGTAAATACCCACAGAAAGCAGCAGGGAAAAGCATGGAACCCCCAGTTCTGGCATTTCAACTGGTCTGCAGAGCAGCTCAAATGGGATTTCTCTCTTCTAAGTCGTAAATCCAGCCATTAGCCACAAGACCATCCCATTAGGGAAAAAACACTGTGGCCTATCGGTGCCCATTTTCAAAGGGATTAAATAAATGGACAGTTGATGACTGCAACTCTCTGCCATCACCCGGAAATCTTCAAAGAATGTGGATTTTCCAGAGCAATGGCAGCAGGGATTCCTCCCTGGACATCTCCCCATCTCTGTGTCACTCTGGCCTGTGCACAATCTGTTCTTCAAAAAACATATGGCCAGAGAAGTTATTAGTAAAACAACTCAATAATATGCTTAGCAATCAATCTAGAGAAGCTTGTACCGTGGTGTTTGCTATTCTACACATCACAGTATCACCTGAGCTAGTACTAATATAATTAAAAAACACAACCACCAACCCAAACAGGAAAGTAACAACCAGCAAACTAATGTTTTCAGGTTCAAAATGCCTTTTTTTTCCCTTCCAAGCTCCAAGACAATGACAAAGGGTTGTGCTTCCTTCATGGAGTCAGTGTAAAGGATTAAGATGGCAGAGCTGCCTCTGAAAACATTCAAGGCCCTCTGGGCCTGTAACTTTTGTTACTATCTGGCTAGAAACATCAGCATGTATTTTGAAAGTTATAGAAGCACTTAACAATGCTTTTCATCTTCAAAGCATTGCTTAATCCTTTCAACTCTCAATGCAAGTATTATCCCTCTGTTTTAGAGGTGGAAATGTTACCTTGCCCCACATTATCACAAAACAGCCTTCCCCTTGGACACCCGTGCAGCTTTAGAGGGTTAAACCTGGCCAAAACAAAATGCTTACAAAAGTTCTCATTTATTCTTTTCCTGCCTTTGCCTCCCAACCAAAGAATTTCAGTTGTTTCAGCCAACAACCTACTCTGAAATTTCGACCAGGTCAGAGAAGCCAGGCTCAGACGAGCCAGGTAACAGGGATGGTGAAACTCCACCAGCAGACGGGTCATGACACAACCACCAATTTAGTTATAATTTTAGTATAAAGGGATGCTTAGCCTTTAATTGCTGCTGAGTGCCTGATCTACACAGGAGAATACATTGCAGAACTGTCACGCAAGCTACTCATTGACCAAGCTCCAGCTCCTCTGCAAATGGTATCAGGCTATTTAAGATGTAGTCTACTGAGTAATGACAAGTATTACAGCTGCTCAGACTGGCAAGTGGAGATGTGATTGCACTCTGTCTTCCAAGGATGCAGCCCGCTGCCAAAAGCTGCTCCCTGTAATGATACGAGCGCTGTCAACACGTGCTCTAGCAAACAAAAAGAGAAGGTAACGGTGATGGGTGACTGTAGGTCCAGTACTGTGTCCTGCTGCAGGAACAGCACCCACCACAACCAGCAGCTTCTCCTTGAAGTAGGAACAATAATTAATCGGTGCAATGGAGGAAGTCAAACAGTCAATGAACTTTCTATATCTAAGCACTCTTGGAGAAATTACACCCAGGACAGTAACACACAGACACGCAGGTAACAGTAACGCACAGGAGCAAATAACACCCAGGACAACACACAGGAACCTTCTGCCTGCAGCACCCAACATGTGTTCTCACCAAGTGAATACTTCTTATGATACAAATGTGTATATTCTAGTTTGAAACTTAAATAAGA